AAAAATTCATTTATAAGATTGAAATTCTACAATTATTTAAAATTTAATGGCTGCCACAGTTGCAAATTAAGATTAAATAAATTGATTTTTGGTATATGGACTCTTTCAATTTAATTTAAATGCTTCTGAATTTCATTTAGAATTAGGCGCCTCAATCTTATGAATTTTAACTTTAATAAGATTTTCTATCTCTTTATTAAGCTTTCTTTTTCAATAACTGTCTGGCCATCAAGAGGTTCAAAATGATTGAGGCGGACTTTCTCAGTTTTGAGGAATTCACGTTTAACTGCCTGAGGGGAGTATTTACTTGGGGCTGGAATGGGATAAGTGCTATATGGTAAAGCTACAATGAACCAATTGCGGTAGGAGGTAACGAATTCTTTTGTCCTTATTTATTTTCAATAAGCTTCAATCTACCATCTACAAACGGTCAAAGGGTGTACAAATTTTGTAAACAGAGACGTTTTGAAACACAGACTGCTAGACAAAGTAAAACTAATGAACCTGCTTTTTTAAAGTTATGCTTGAAATGCTTAGTGTATCTAATTCAAATCTAATAAGAGAAAATGAAATATTTTCATATACAATAATATCTTTAATGATGCATTAAAATTATTTTGACTATTTTTCTTCATTTTCGAACATATTTCGAGTTTGTACTATTTTAAAAAAAAGGTTTTTCGAGAAATTAATTTACTTTAATATTTTTAATAAATTGTGATTGATTAATTTCACATCAATCAAAGTATCGTTAGATTTTTTTCTTTCTAAAAATTTTTGTTTAACTAATGAAATCCTTAAAATGATTGATTTGTTATCCTTTTTTCTCGTTCTCTTCTTATACATAGATATTCCAAAATTGTAATATTTTTCTTGACTAGACAAAATTATTTATTTTCATATTATAAAATAAAATTATTATTTAATATTTTCATATATTAAATTATTTGAATATGAACATAAAATGATATTTGAAAAATTTATTCAATTAAATAAAAATAATGTCTCCGATGGATACAAAGAAGATTCCTTTTGGTTCATTGTATATTTATATACATAAGTATAAATTTAAGAAAATTCTATTATTCATAATAATATTTAATTTAAAATTTAATTGAGTATAAACGAAGGACTAGTAAAAATAAATGGATATATAGAAAATAATAATATCGTATTATTTATATGGGAGAAGCCTGTGGTTTATTAACAACTACACTTTTTTTTTGTATAAATTTTGCTAAAATGAAGACGACTATTCTGCCGGAAAGGGATTATGATCGTCTTTTCGGAGAGATTCTACTTCTGGCACTGCCTAGGATTGACAAGGTAAGGAAGTATAGCTTTGAGAAAAATGTTACATCGTTGCTTAGCAGCAGAAGAAATTCAGAGAGCAAATTTTCAGGCTACCCAAAGCTTGTATGGAAATGGGTACGGGAGTGTTTGAGCCAAGAATTCTTTGAACATATTCCAATGTATTCGAATGTTTTTCAGGCTGAGGTGTACACCATTGAATTTTGGGTCCGGTTTAATTTTGAAAGGAGGTAGCGAGGATAGAAAATAACGATCGTTCCGGATCATTGTGTTGAATTTATTTTAGGTATCTTCCGCGTTGGTATAGAGCTGTATTTAGAATATCAATAAATTACGTAGACCGAAACGGGTTACTATGTGCCATGTGACGTGCTGTCTGATAAAATAACATAGCTCATGCACCTTGTCAAGAAGACAACTCCTTCGCCTCACATTCTCTCTCAAGATGTGATGTAGTTTAGTTATCTCTCCTACAGAATCTGCAATATGGCGAGTGTAATACTTGTATACAAGAAACTAATTTCATGATAAATATTATAAGCATATTTCAAAACTGAAATCAACCTCATCCTTATAGAAGCAAACACAAACAAAACACATGTAATATTCTCAAAAGAAATTCCATATCGTAAAGTAAACATAGAGTAAAAATTTCTCTAATTTCCTTGATTAAAGAAATTCTATAAATGGTCAACTTTTTGAAATTTTAATATTAGGTGCATTAATTTTCAGACCATAATAATTGAACAATACTGAGAACAAAAAAAATAAAAATTATGTTAGAAAAATAAGGAAAACATTTTCGAAAATTCTATAGGACTTGGGACAAAATATATGATTTTTGTTCAAGGAACCAACTAAAGAAATCACATACATTTTATGTTTACTTGGAATTTTTTTTTAAAGTTTCATAAATTTTGCAAGGAAATTTATTAAAAAAAAATCATTCTGAAGAAAAAAAAAAATTTAACTAAAAGTTATTTTACATCAAGAAGTTTTTCTTTATTTACTCCTTATGGGAGTGGGGTGAGGAAGGATGGGCCAATCATAAAAAATATTTTTTTTTTTTGTTTAAAATGTCAAAAATGGTTAAGAGAAATTTTCAATTTTCTATAAGGATATCCTTTTGAAAAACTACAAAGGTTTCTTTAAATTATTGTTCATATAAAAAAAAAAAACAATAAGAAGAATTAAAAAAAAAAAGAGGAAAATATAATGAAAAGGTACGGAAGAAGGTAAATTTGTGGAAGAAAAATAGATTGACTGTAAAATTGTGAAAATATTTTTTAAAAAATTTTTTTCCCTCATTTTGTTTTTAAAAACCGTAATGAATATAAAATATTCTCTTTTTGTTTTTTGCTCTCTAAGCTATAAAAGAGATAAAATTTTTTCTTGGTTTTTCAAGTTTTTTCCTGAACTGTTAAATTTATTGAAGAATATTTTTAGCTTTTATATATTGAGAGAATATTAAGAGGATATAAAATTAAATTAAAAATTATAAAAATTTACTTCATCAAATTTCTTTTTAACAGAATAAGATAGTTATGAGCATTTGGAATTGGCTGGGTAGTTAAGTCTTAAAGATTTGATGTTATGTGGAGCAGAAAATTGATTAAAATTATTTTATTAATTTAAACTAAATATTGAGAACTGGTGAATCAACTTAAAATTTCGAATTCTTTATTATTTTTTTCACCAAAGACAAATTTTCTTATAAAAGAAATAAAATTGAGGACAAAAAAGAGATTAACAGTTACTCTTTCTCGTTATCATTAAAACGTGTTGCCATTGTGTGTCACTTAATTGATAGCCAAAAAATATTTATTATACCAGGCTAGTCGTCACTTTAATTTAATGATTTTTTTATTAAAAAGTTATTTGGACTTGCATTTGGGTGATGTAATTTTAAAATAGTTTCAATTTCGGAAATACTTCAAGCTTTCAAATCCCATATAGCTAACCGTTTCATAATTTTAAATTACTCTATGTCTGTAGATTAGAAGTTGATGCGTAATTTACGTCTGGAAATTGTGTTCGAATGCGCATGGTAAAGCTTAAAATTCAAATTAAAAAAATTTTATTAAAATCTATGTAATTGAGCCCCGCTTATTTCAGTTGATCATTTTAAAAATTTACAAATTAGCTAGAAAATTTCTTTTAGAAATTTTTTAGAAAGAAAATTAAAAAAAAAAATATTAATGTTAAGCCTTCTACTTGTATTTTATTTTAAATTTCAATACCCCTGTTTTTCAACTAATAAAATTTTTTAATTTTAAGAGGAAAAAAAATTGTGTAAAGAATATTAATTTCCAATATTTTTGTTTTTCTTGTTTTTGAAAGAAAAAGGATAATGGAATGCTGTGATGCGATGTAATAATTTATGTCGAATATCATAAAAAGAATACATAAGCCGTTAGGATTTAAATATCATAAGAAAGGATTGTAAGAAAAAGGGGTTTCAAGTAAAAGAATATTTATACCTTTAGGGGCCTTAAGTCTGATGCCTTAAGTAAAAGATGTATAAAAGATTTTTTTTTTTGCTGTTTTCAATTTCAAATACCTTTTGAAGTTTTAAAACGACTTTAAACGTTAATTTCTTTTTGCGTTTTCTTAACATTTATCTTTTATGAATACATAAGGTATCAGAGACGATTCAAATGCCAACTAAAACAATCAGTGCCACCCTAAATTCAATAGCAAAATTAAGATTTAGAGAAATTATCGAAATTATTTTCTCACCTCCAACTTGTTTTTTTTAGAAAAAAAAAAGAAAATATGATAATAATGGTGGGGATTAAGTGAGTATAAATTTCAGGAATAAAGTGGTATAACTACATATAATCTTTTGTTAAATATCGCAGTAACCAAGAAAATCTACCCTAAATGGCGGCATGTAATAACGTTCAACGTAATAAGAAATTTCCATAAGACATCATTCTGGCGGGAATAAATTGATGATATAATAGAGATCATGGCGAGACATTATCTTATCGTCAGCTGAGTCTAATACAAAATTTAATAAAATAGTATGTAGGAAACGCTGAAATTTTTTTCACTTTCAATCCGCTTACAGTTGAATTTTATTAACCGATATTCTTGAAATTTATAACAGTTAACAAATATTCAATAAGTTTTCCTAAAAACATTAGACAATTTTTATAAAATGAAAGTAAATCCTTGCAGACAATTTGTATTACGTGAATTAATTTTAAACTTTCAGGCCATTATTCCATTTAGAATATCCAATTTTCCTCTAATAATCATATTAAATTTATATAGAAGAAGTTTTAAATTATACGAGTAAAATATGAATTACACGACTCTGAAAGACAAAGTGGATTTTATTTTATTCTTCATCTTCTTTTTTCGTAATATTTAAGCTGATACCCAGTCAACTTTATAATTTATTTTTTTCTGCTCGTATAAAACTTGAAAAGAAATTAAAAATCAATATGGTATTAAAATTTTTTTTTTATTTTTTAATAAATCAAAGTTTCATAAATCCTATCAGAAACTTTTTTAGAATTTGTGGTAAAAATTTTATAATTTAGTAAAAATATCATGAGTTAGAAATTTTAATTTCAGACATGGTAATTTTTTTAAAATATTTGAAAATTACATTGGAACTGCAGCCGGACATTAGTTTTGGAAACAATAATTTAAAAATTAATAAAAAAATAAACACTAACCTTTCACAGCCTGTTCCTTCCATATTTTCTTATTTTCAGCTAACATTATTGCCCATGGTTTTCTAATTCTAAATTTTGGTTTACCATCGGGTCCCAATTCTTGTGATTGATTACTACCATTCTTAACTAATTCAGCATTTTCAGATATTGATTCACATGTTGTACCAGTTATTGAATTTGTTGGTGGTTTTGAACTATTATTTTCATCATTTTTATCACTACTATTATTATTATCAGAACCAATTGATCCAGAATTTGTTGTACGTATTGGTGCTATTGGTGCCAATATATATTCTAACATATCGGAACATACAGACATACTTGGATCAACAATAAAATCAATAAAACCAATTTGTGATTCAGCTACCAATGTATTATTTCTATCACATAATGGACTAAATGGTAGCCCTAGATCACGTTCTAAATCACCTTGTCTAAAGAATTCCTCTAATAATAATTTTGTCCAACGATGATGTAAGGTCCACTTTTTGGCAGGATGCGATATATCACAACAATGTAAAACTAATGCTAGTGCTTTTGATTTATCAACAGTTGGTGAATCCAATGTTAATAAATTTTTCATATTTTTTAATTGTTGAAAATGGAAGGACATATCCGTTGATAATACCATATCAATAACCAATGTACGTAATTCACGATATTCTTCACGTGATAAATTCGCTAATACATTACATTCATCTTCTTTGATAACACGAAATGCTGCACTAATATGATGATTTTCTAATACGGCACGATCATTATATAACATTGCTGTTTCAGAACCAGACATAACATGAAAATTATTTGTTGTACCGGTATGCTCAAAATCATGTATCAAGGCAGCTAATAATGTTGCAAATATTTCTAAATCAGTTAACCAATTCATAAGACCCGTTTGACATAATATATGATGTGTTGTTTGTGTTACATCAGCAGCATGTAAATTATTATGATATGGATTACGAAATTTACAATATCCTTCTTCGATACGTGTTAAAAATGTTTCTAATACAGTTGGTGATATTTTAAATTTATGTATAATGCCATAACGATTGAGCAAATCATATCCTAAATATTTTACTGGTTGGCTATTAGCTGCTTCAGCTAATGCAAAAACATCAAATGACCAATCATCTAAATTCTAAAAAGGAAAATATAGAAAATTAAAAATTATTTTTAAATAAATTATAAAAATTGGAAGTGTTGTCAATAATTTATGCGGACATGAAAGTAAGTTCGAACTTTTTCCTCAAGACTTAATATAATGACAGTAAGTGTCATTTTAATGACAGGTTTTCTGCTTTAAGCATCAAAATCAAGTCAAATATTAAAATTTATCTTGAATTGGGGTCGGTTTTCCAGTAAATCTTTAACTGATGATTATTAGAGCTCTCCTTTCAGGAGAGGTTTACTTTAGGTTAGTGAATAAAACCGAATTCAGACGTATTTGACTTAGTTACAGCGATAAAATTGGAGACTTTTCATTGAATTATTTTTCTACCCAAAAATATGTATATGAAGTAAAGACCAAAGTAATATACATACATACATACATATGTATGAATTGTAAAAATTTTTAATTAAACATAATTTACCTTTAAAACTTTAACAACTTCTGGTGGAAATTGCATAAGAGCTGAACTCGATACACGTCTATATATTCGATCAACAAATATACCAGCTCGTATTGCATGTGCCACTGAACGAAATTTTGGTTTTTCATCACTACGTTTCTTTGTTGTTGCTAATTGCCTTGTAAATGTTGATGCTAACCATTCTCTAACTTCCGGTGGTACAGCATCCGGTTGAACTTCGGATAATTCATCATCTTCATCAGCTAATCGCCTATTTAAATTATATATTGTCATATATAATGACATTTTGACAGCCGAAGGTAAATGAGTGCAAGAAATAAACAATTTAATGTTTATTTTTGTTTTTTGTTTTGTTTCCAAAAATTTTTTGAAAGAAGAAACAAAGAAAAAAAAAATAGAAAAATTTTTATATTAGTAATTTTCTTAAATTGAAAATATGAAAATTTAAAAAAAAAAAAATATTTTGAAAATCAAAATGTTAGGGCTCAAAATTAAAAAACAAAATAATAATGAAAATAAAAAATTTAATATTTAAATTAAAAATAAATACAAAAATAAGAAATATTTTATTAATAATTACAATCAAAATATTTATAGGGGGAAAAAAATTATGAAAACAAAATTATTTTCAGACAAATATGTAGTAAAAGTAATAAAGAATAATAAAGAGTAAAATATAGATTTATGGCATTTTAAAGATAGAAAAGAAAAATTAAAGATAGTTATGAAAAATAGTTGAAAAAGAATTTTATTTGTGTTGGTTTGTATGCAATTGTATTTAAATATTTAAATATAAATTAGACACATACATAAATAAAAAAAAAATAGAGGGTTCTTATGTACACGGACAGAATTATTGTATAAAATAATTAAAATAACAAAAAGAGATTTTGTAGTTGGTAGGTTTGCTTTCTAAAAACAAAAATAATATTGCATTCAATAATAAGGTTATCAGATTTCATTAAACACATAGAAAAAAAGAAGGACAAACAAAATGAAATTTCAACATGCATAGAAATTCAAATTTGAGTAAAGCATTCTATAAAAAAAAAAAAAATTATATGTATTATGAAAATTTTAATTAATTTGCAATAAATGTATATTAGTGCATACTTATAGGAGTTATCTAATTAAATATGCATAAAAAATATAAAAAATGATTGCAAAAGCTCAAATAGTCACATTTTTTTTTTTTTTGATTTTTGTATTCTTCTTTTACACTTTATTTTACTCTCTCTCTCTCTTCTTTTTCGTATCATAATAATTATGAATGCAAAAAGAGAAAAGAGAGAATTTACTAAAAAGAAGATGAGAAATGAAATGTAAAAGAATTTATATGAACTTTGGCAAATGATGTCAAGTAAAGCGCTATTGTTTTCGAATAAGAATTGCAATAAAAAGAATATCACCACAATTTTAAAATTTTTTAATATTTTATAATTTTTATTCTATTAAAATTTTATAAAATTATTTACACAGTAAACTATATTTAATTAAAAAAAGAGAAATTTTCTTTTTTTCAGACGAAATAAGATGGATGAGCATTTAATATTCACGTGAATAATCCGGTGGACGAGAGTAATATAAGAGAGGGTGCACGAGAGTAATCCGGTTAGCTCTGAAGTACTGTGAGAAAAGAATTTGTAAATATGTTTATGACGAACTAAACTTGCAATATAGAAGTTCTTTAATTAAATCCGTCTTAAATATAAACGACTTGTTACTGGAAATATAAATAACAAAAATTATGTGGATCCAAGATAAGAATCGTAAAAATTATCGGGTTAATTTGAGAGAATTTAAAATTTTTTTCGATTGTTTGCTCAAAACAAAGCATTCTATAACGCTCCGTCTCAGAACTTGTGGTTAATAATATTGAATATTGTAAGTTTATTCAACTTCTATAAAATTTATATATGTTACAAAATAAAACAAAGTGTTCATTTAAGGTTTTGACTGGTTCATTTAAGCTTGTAATTTAATAGTTTCTTAAAAAGGAATATATTTTAATTAAGGATATTTAAAGGAGAAAAATTAAATGTAATTCATGCTTTATATATTTATATGTATATACCAGGCTTTTTTTTAAATAATATTCTAGTTTAGATAATGTTCTTGATACAATTAAATAATTTTTCAAAAATGCATCATATTCAATTTCAAAATGTCAAAAAATAAATTTTTCTCTTGAAATTAAACTGACATATCATCATTTTCTGAAATTAAATACAGTTATTTTTAACATACTTCTTGTGTATATAAATGCAATGTAATTTTAGAAAATTTCAAATTATCTGACAAGGTTTCAAATACATGTTAATTTCAATTAAGTCTATTTAATTCATTAGTTCCTTTTTAAATTTGTTTGAAATAGTAGAATGAGAAATTGTTATACTTATTTTAATAATAATCATATGACGAGTATATTTCATTATAGTAATTATTAAGCAAATAGAATTTTTATTAAAAAGTAAGAATCTTCCGTTTCTCATCGAATGAATAATAAATTCGTGGGGTATTACAAATTTGTCATTTAGTACTGTACAAAAATGAGCGTCGAATATTGTGAATCGACTTAACTATGTCTCTTAATATTCACTCCAGTCATAATTGAAAATTAATTAATTGAAGTTAATGTTAAAAAAATTTTAAAAATTGTTTATATGTTATAGTAAATATAGGTTAATTTTGATATAGATAGTGATTCGGAATTGATCAATATCTCAAATATTACTATTCAGAGCACAGTAATGAAATTTCACATGGATGAATATCGTGTTTAAATCACTCTCCTTTAGAGAAAATTAATTGGTTTATATCATTTTAAAATTAATTTCAGCAAACGTTTTGACCGTCCTTACTAGAAGTAAAATCTACAATCTAATAATCTACAAGTGTCTATTGCCGAAATAGTGTGAATTCTTGTGATATAACCCGAATAAAGACCGTTAAAATCTTGTATTTGTACGAATGTTATAGAATTGTGACGGCCAATTCTACCTTTATCCTCATAATTTGCAGTAAATTCGAAAATTTGAATAATTACATACATATATACATAATAAATTTTTGAGTAATTAAATTACCCCTTAAATTATGCAATATAATACTATAAAATACAATATTTTCTTAGGTAGGAAATTTTATTTCTATTCTTTCCTGTTTTGTACAATAATTATTTCGTTTTTTTCCAATAAAAGAACAATCTATTTAGCATTATATTACAATGTAAGCCTTGAACCTGCCTTAATATCCTTTTTGTCATAAAAGTAAATGCTATCCAACTGGTATGCAACATATAACAAATTGCTGACTTTGTAATAAATTGAAAAAAATTTTGGTACAAAATAAAAATAATTAACATGCTTTTGAAATACCAATTTACTATACCATTTTTACCATTACCATTATTTTCTCTTCATTTCATTGAACATTATTCAAATATTTAGTTTCTTTATTATTGGTACAATAGAATATATTTTGTACGTTTTTATTTGCGTACACATGATAATTGTATTATCTTTTGAAATTTTCCAAGGAAATTTCTACGTAATAAATGGAGCACATACAAGGCTATTAAATAATATGAAGTTCTCAAAATGAAGGACAAAATTTTATTACATTTAATTTTCGTATTTATTCATCAATTTTATTTTGTATTTCAAAATAATAATAGAGACACCTGACAAAAATAATTAGAGGACATGAAACAAAAATTTACAAATGATTGGGAGGAAAACAAGAGAATTTCAGAATTCGAATACAAAATTATATCGAGAATATAAGTAAAAAAATAAAATAGCAAAATATATAAAAAATTCAAATATGTTAATTGTAAAGTATAGAGAAAAATATTTGGATCATCGTTTTTTTTATTTCGAAAAATTCAATAGAATTTGGTTTACTTGTAATACTTGTAAATTTATGTAAAAGTAAAAACAATGTTCACAACACAGTCTGGGAATTTGCAATGAAAACATAAATGATGAGAGATATTAAGCCATAAGTCCAATTTAAATATTAAATTTTGAAAATTTCCGGATATTTCGAAAAATTTTCGAATAAAATGTTTTAAACAATAAAGTGATCAACAAATTTTAAGCAATAATATTATAATTTAATAGGGAGGTCGGAACTGTGGTCGGAACAATATTATTAACAACTGCCCACGGTTGCAGCAATCCAAGCAACTTCATGGCGACTATAACCACAAACGTTACCGGCGGATCGTGGGGATATCTTATGGAGATATGAGGAATCAGGGCAAAATGAAAATTGGGCCTGTACGGCAATGGAACCTGAATATTTTAAGTGGAAGAGAAGAGGACTTTTAAGTACCTTCTTCTGAAGTTTGCATGCTTTGATCTATAGAAGCAGAGAACTTCTGGGTGGCTTTGTTTTGGCATTATAATGGTTGTGAAAAATTCAACTTCGCAAAGTTGCTCGAATTTATTGAAAAAGTAGATCCAGGAGAGGTAATTCAGACTCCAAGCCTGTACTTAATCAGGACTCACAATAGATCCAACCAATGATGAGTCGAATTGCATTGCCACCCTGTTCTTGTAATCTACATCTGCATTTTATATTCTTATGTTATCCTCTTTCACTGTAATACTTTATTAGACTGCATAACCCAGAATATTCTTTGTTACGAGTAATAAAAATTCCAACCGATAGTAAAATTTTAGTGTTAGAGGACGCTACACTATAATATATGTCTGCTTTTTTACACATAATACTTAATAAGAAAAATAAACTATAATAATTAATAATTTTATATTAGAAACAATTTTAATTAAAATAAGACTAATGATTTTCATGATAAAGTATTATTATTTAATCGATAATTAAATGGTAATTAATAAAATATTTTGTTTTATGAAGGACGTTTCCAAAATGTATATGTATGCAATGCTATTAATATAAAAATAGTTATATTAGTTCATCTAAGAATATTGAATATACCTACTCTAACATATATCATATTTGATATATGTATATATGTATATATATACATATATCAAATATGATATATATATATGAGTAAGATATATACGCCAGAAATTCAGAAGTTAGTTGTGGTGGAAAAAATTTATTGATTTCAATACTGAAGAAATGTTAAAGACGTCCCTCATTTATTATCTATGTATTTTTATGTATATATATAAATTTTCTATACAGATATATATATATAGAGGCTGAAGAAATTTTCTCAGGCTGCGGCGGGCTAAGGAACTTCTAGGAGATTAT